CAAAAACCAGTCAAACCCTTAGCCCTCAGCCATGAGGTCCGCGTCATAAATGACTTTATGTCCTAATTCCATGCCTACGCTGTTTTTCGGAATGGTAACTCGTCTTTTATGAAATTTGAACCGAAATTCAGCATTCTTGTCTAAAAAAGTTTTAATTCATATGATTATTATTGTTTAAGTAATCTTATCACCACTTGAGCTACACACAGGGGGGTCGTACCAAATCGCCCATGAAGGGGGGGGGGTCGTAGAAAAAATCCAAAAAGTAGCAACGATAGGACCGACCCTGGCCCCACGGCGGACACGCTTACTGCGGAAGCTAGGAAACCATACTAAGAAATCGTTTCTGCCCTTTTTCCAACCATCTCAACTAATTCTTGAGTAAGAAATGCTTCAAGTTCAAATTGATGTGAAAACAACCCTCGACGATATTATTGCCTCCGTGACGCTCATTTTTGGGTGGGCGAGGACAGTTGAGTGTGCATCTTGTTAAGAAAAACTATTAATTTCTAACGATTTTTTACAACTGAAAATGTTGAATTTGAGCGGAGATATTCGTCTTGTGGAAATAGAGGTCGAAAACCCGCATTACTTTCCGAACAACCTTATATATTGCTATCTCATCTGGCAATACGCGTTGTATGTCGTCGCGGATGTTGCATGTATCGATTTCTGGCCTAGAGTCAACAAATCGCACTGGGACAACTTTAGCCATCCGTTCGTGAAAACTCGTCCAAACCCCGTCCTTTTCTATACAAAGGTGTGTAGCGACTGGAAGAGATGTTCAGGGCGTAACCGAACTTTTGATTTCTTTTTCGTCATCAGGTCACTGCCCGCCCTAACTCATGATTGAGCGCCCCTACCCATTCATTTTATCGCGAGGCTTGCTTTAACTCGTGGCACCACACGGGTACATGCTCTGCCCACTCTTCCTTCACCAAGGCTTCATTTCGTCTACAAATCTCCAACTTAGTCTTTTAGAATACTCCCATGGCAACTACTTTATTTTCAGGACTTCATCTCGGACGGCGCCTGTTTTTCGGCAGACCTATCGAGAAAAGACATACGTGTCGCCAGATTCCTTCGTAAGGCTCAGTTCATCTGCTTTCGCGTTAGGAGGTGTGTACGACGAACGCGACGGAAACATGGGACGGCAGTACCTGCGCGTACTTCTCGTTGCCCTTGCTCATCGCTCTTTCAAGTGTCGCTTTGAGAGTGGCACCGTTGTCAGCGGCGGTAAATTGTATAAATCGGAAAATCACCTCAAAAATATGGTCTTTCTGACTGTCCAAGTACCACGCGAACGAACATGCTGAAGAATCGATGCTGAAGGTTTCAAGACGTGAATTTTTCGTAAAAGTTACTGAGTGCAGCAATATTACGTTCTGCTTTAGGTCATGGTAATGCAACACCGTGGAGATCCGTACCGATCATATACTTTATTCCCCGAGAAACCACGATCAGAAATCACAAGTATGAATTAACAATTTGCTTGCCATTTTTATTCGGTCACAAATATTCCGGGAAAACATTGATTGAGGTGGGTGGACATTTTTGTGCTACTCACACACGACTACACTGCGTTTCACAGCCAGCTTTCAGTGGGATTCAACGGATTTATTTGTGTATTTTATTCTTAATTACAGTTTAGACGCGTTTTAAAATATAGTTGCTAAATGAAATCCAATGATTAACCATAATACTAAGAAACAAAATCTAACAAAAACATAGAAAATGAAGTATTACATTCTCCAGTTCGCCTTCCTGAAACCTTTGGCCTTTTCCGATAATCAGTTGATCTCGTGCCGACACCTCCACAAACCGCTTCTATCAAGCCCGACGTTTCGACTTATCTCTTCAAATACCTAAGGAAGCGTATCGAATCTTTTTCAAATAGGAATTATCCCTCACAACGCTGGCTTGCTCCTATTCCCAACTCAAACTAAGGTTCAAACAGAGTCGAATCCAACAGTGGTCACTTACCTTAAAGCCACAACCCAGGCAGAGATGTGTGACGCTTCTCTTCTGGTCTAGTATAGAACCCTAAAGGACAATCACAGATGTGGCGTTCCTCGTGCACGAAGACCGACCGATAAGAGCGCTTGGCCTTCGCAAAGTAAGCTGCCCAAGCTGCAGACTTTTTCTCTTATCAGGCTGTTGTCTGGCGATCTCTCATCTGTAGCGCTCTCTCGCCCCATACTCTCCTCTCCGCGCTTAGTCTCTCATTCCCTTAGCACAGCCGATTAGGAAGGTGAGTGAGCCCTTAACCTGAGCGTTTTTGACGAATTCTTTTCCTTTTTCTTTACTGCCGGCCCATTTCGCACCAATACATTCGCATTCGTGTGCAAGAGCCACACCAATGTGATCCTGGGCATGCTTTTACTCCACCCTGGAACTTAACTGATATCTGAAAAGGCATTAGCTTTACATGTCGAAACGATCATTCGCGAGATTCCTCGTGTAAGATAAATAGATCGAGCCTCTCATTGCCTTTCAGTGTAGTGGTGTCCCATTGAAATAGGATTCCAATAAGCATGAAGCTCGAAGAAGCGGAAATATCCTTGGTGGGAAGGCTGGTGGGCCCTAGAGTGCGGGGCGACGCGCGTTCCGCAGCAAAGCGTGTGCCCCAGTGACTTAGCACGGCCATACTCACCCCCTCGTGCCGCTACTAGTCCTCGCCTTGGACTCAAGCCGTCTAGCAGAGCACTAGCGTGGAAGAGGGCAGCAACAATAGTCGAAAAATAGCAAAAATCTCCACTAACTTATTGTTAGGGCCGAAGTTTGAAGGCTCATTACCGCTGCACGCCTTCGCCTTCAAATTGCGCGCCAACTCTGGCCGCCATTCCCTGTTCTATCTGCGCATGCTCTTGTCGTCTTCCTCTCTCTGGGATCGGTTGATCCTTATCATTGCTCATCGCCACTGCATTTCATATTTCAGTCAGGCTCGCCTTCTCCGTTACTTATTCACTATTTTGGATATACTCCCCTATTGAAATATCTCAGTCCCCTCGCAGGGATCCCACTATCGCGGAATCCACGCGATAACGCTGTACCAAGAGTGATTACTTCATTTGATTGATTGTACAAAGCTACAACACGACACCATCAATGCATATTTAGTTTTGGAGTAGTATAATATTTATGCTGGCAAAATACCTACATCAAAGAGTCTTCTTCACGCTTAGTCACCGTCTCACTTTATTTCCAGTAGCTTTGTAGAATTACAGCAGCACAGCAGCACATTTCAGGGAATCATACTTCATCTTACCTCAGTTTACTTCAGTTCATCGAGCTCAATCGAATACTTGGCGTCGAACATTTTGTCGTCTATCTTAGCAAAGATGTTTCCGAGTCAATGGCGAATGTCGTGGATTTCTATGAACATCTTGGGTGTGGTAATTTTCGGTCGTTCGTCGAAAAAAGTGCATGCCATGCAGATAGACAATCTATATCTTACATGAATTCGTATGTATCTATATCTTACACACATTCTAGGTCTTGTGCATAGTTCTACACGAAATTACGAATAGTCAAGAGAAGGCGATCCTTACCAATTTTGAACAGGTTCCATGAGACGTAAGAGTCGGAACCACATGCTTGATCGGGCAGTTCCAATTACCCTGTTCCTTCCCAGCTCAATTCCCAGAATCTTTCCGGAATCAATTTGATCATTGCTTACCGCGTTCACATACTCCAGAGCTCCTCTTTCAAAACCGTCATCGCCTGGCTTACAAAAGTTTTTTCGTAACATATAGCATCAGGATTCATAAAACATTTCAAAAGTGAAGAGTTGACCTAAAAACGGAACTTATAACACTTTTCTCACTTTGAATCATTGCGTACTGATGTAATACATACACTGCGACGCATAATTATAGTTCCATTCCCAAAAACTTGAATCTGGGGATGTTTTTGAAAAGGCTCTACAGACAAATTGTGACACATATAAACGCGAATCTGAATATTAACACGGAAATCCAGTTTGAGAAAGCAACAATTTTTTATCCTCATTTTTTCGAAAATACCCCTTTGCCTATGACGCAAAATCATAGTTCCACCACATGTTTTTCCGCTGCATTTTGCTTTTACTCAAGCAATTTTGAAATTTTACCC